CAGCCGCAGATTCGCCGCCAGCGCCTGGGCCGAAACGGCTGAGTTCGTTAGGCGCGGACGAGAAGCGGGGGAAGCCGGGCCACTGCGAGACACAAAGGCGCGAAGGGGCACGCCGGGGCTGAAAGCCACCTCCGAGGTCCGACCCACACTCTCCGTGCCGAGGGGGCGGTGACAGCTTTTGGGGGATGTACGAGGCGGTGCGTGGGGGCGGGACCTCTGACGACAACAGAGTGGGCGGGACCTTAATATGGAGGGTGGGGCGTGCGGAGCAGTTCTTCATTGCAAATGGATTGTGAGATGTGGGCGGGGACTCGTTGCTGGGCGGGATCAGCGGAGCAGTGTTCTATTGGGCCCAGTGAAGCGTGGTAGGCGGGGATTGAAGAGGACAGGGGGGATCTGCAGAAGGGGCCTGTTTGGAAGGCTTTAGGGGTGGTAGGAGGAGCTTTACAGAGATAGGAGGGTCTGGGGAGCGGCTCCTGATTGAGGGTAGGTCAAGAGTGGTGGAGGAGGCTCTGGAGTGATTGGGGAAACTTGTATTTATGCAAATGACGTGACCATGCTTGCAGAAAGTAAAGACTTGAAACGCTTACTGAAGAACATCAAAGACTATTGCTGCCCTGTGCCAGTGTTGTTGCTTTTGGTCATGTGCCATAGAGTCTGCGGTCCTCAGCAGGGCGGGGAGAGAGCGCTTCCCAGGCTCTCACAGCCTCGGTCAGCCCTCTCTGCTTTGCTGGCAGTGGTGCTCTCTTGGAAGTCTGCAGATGCTCTTCTACTATTGAGAAATTCTAGCGTATTTGGTGAGAAGTCCAGCGACCGTGAGCCTTTGTCAGTAAAGGACAAGGAGTGGGGCACGTGGGGGTCACGCTCGTGAGAACTCCTGCCTCCAGGAGGTAGTTTACTCTCTTGGGCCTCAGTTAGATGCTTCTCATTGTTAAGTGCGGTCAAGTCAAGTACAACTCTTGGTGACCCTTTGAACAACTGATACGAACATTGCCCTATCCTGCGCCATCTTCACACTTTCCAACATGCTCAAGCCCTTTGGTTTTTCTTAGTCACCGTGTCAATCGATCTACTTAAGGGTCTTCCTCTCTCAAACCCCCTTCCCCCCACCTTTCCTGTGAATAAAACAAAAATTCTGACTCCTGGATCCAAAGTTATCTGGCATTGGCAAAATCTACTACCACAAGGCAACACTGGGGTTTTGTTTTCTTGGTGTTGACTTGTAATCCCTATGTATCCATATTGAAGGATGTAGTCTTTGATCTTCTGCAACAAGTGTTTCTAGTCCTCTTCACTTTGTGCAAGCAAGGTGTGTCATCTGCGTGAAGCAGGTTGTTGAGGAGTCTTCTTCCAATAATGATGCTAAATTCTCCTTTATATAGCCCAGCTTCTCGAATTATTTGCTCAGCACACAGATTGAATATGGAGAAAGGAAACAACCCTGACACATCTTTCCTGATTTTAAACCATACACTGTTCCCTTGATCTGTTTGTACAACTGCTTCTTTGCCTATACATAGGTTTCATATGACCACAATTAAGTATTCCAGGATTCTCTTTCTGATACTCTCTGCTTTCAGCTAAAATTCATCTAACAGTAACATTGACATTTCTAGTGTCATAGCCTATTCTAAATGCACCTTGCATTTCTGGCAGTTCCCTGAACATGTACTTGTCTATCCATTTTTTAACCATCTTCAGCAAAATTTTATTTGCCTTTACATCTGAACATCAAGAAAACAAAATACTCACCATTGAACTGATAAACATCATGACAGATGGAGAAAAGAATGAACTTGTTCATGATTTCTTACTTAAATGTACAATCAACACCCATGTTAGGAGAGGTCAAGAATTCAAAAGCAAAAAAAAAAAAAATTCAAAAGCCCTGTTGCAATGGGAAAGTCTGCTGTCAAAGACCTCTTGTAGGTGTTAAGGAATAACGATGTCAGTTTAAAAAGTAAGATGCACCTAATCCAAGCCATGGTCTTTTCATTTGTTTCATGTATATATGTTTTGACAATGAATAAAGAAGACTGAAAAAGAAGGAATACCTTCAAATTGAAGTGCTGGTAAAGAGTATTGAATAGCTCGTTGACTGCGAAAAGAATAAACAAATTTGTCTTGAGGGAAGTACAACCTCCTAAAAGAAAGGATGGTGAAACTTCATCTCACATACTCTGGGTATGTCATCAGGAGTTGTCAGTCCTTGGAGAAGGACATCGTGCTAGGAAAGGTAGAGGGTGAGAAAAAGACAAGAACACTCTCAAAGAGATGGACTGGCACAGTGTCTGTACCACTGGACCAATTGGTAGCATCAGGATGGATGGCGAAGAGATTGAGATTGTTCACAGCTTCAGTTTGCTAGGCTCCACGGTCAACACTCTTGGCACCAGCAGCCAGGAAATAAAAAAACTTATTGCAATGGGAAAGTCTGCTGTTAATGACCTCTCTAAAGTACTGAAAAGCAACCGTGTCTCTCTGGAGACTAAGGTGCGCCTGATACAGGCCATGGTCTTTGCAATCACTTGTTATGCATCAGAGAGTTGGACAATGACGAGGGAGGACAGAAGGAGAATTGATGCCTTTGAGCTGTGGTGCTGGAGAAGAGTATTGAATGTACCATGGACTGCCAAGAAAATAAACAGATTCATCCTGGAGAGGGTTAAACCAAGCTACTCTTTGGAGGCAAGGATTCTGGGACTTCGTCTGACATAGTTTGGGCATGTTGCCAGGAGGGACAGATCCTTGGAGAGGGACATCATGCTTGGGAGGGTAGAGGGACAGTGCAAGAGGGGAAGACCCTCTATGAGGTGGATTGATTCCGTGACTGGGGTAATCGGGATGGGTGTGTCAGAGGCAGTGCGATTGGCACAGGATAGAGCAGGGTTTAGGGCTGTTGTACATAGGGTCGCTATGAGTCGCAAATGACTCGACGGCACGACGGCACATAACAACAACAACAACAACATGTAATAAAGGACCTGTGTAATAATGGACCTGCGTAAAAAAGGGACCTGTGAAATAATGGACCTGTGTAATAATGGACCTGTGTAATAATGGGCCTGTGTAATAATAGACATGTGTAATAATGGACCTGTGTAATAAAGGACCTGTGCAATAATAGACCTGCCCTGGGCACCAGTCTCCTGTTCTGGGCACCGATCTTCTGCCCTGAAAGCCAATCTCCTTCCCTGAGCACCAGACTCCTGCTGTGGGTGCCAGGCTCCCGCCCTGGGCATCAATCTCCTGCCCTGGGGATTGAACAGGACATGGGCGCTGGGCTCCTGCCCTGGCCATAGGCACCAGAAGTCACCACTGTACTTGGCAGACCCTCACTGTGCTTGCAGTCGAGGGTCTGTGGCCACCACAGGTGGAACAAACGCATTGGCACTGCTCACAGACCCACGGACGTCTCTGGGTCAGCTCTGTCATTCTCGTAATCACTCTGATGCCGCTACACACTTAGCAGATGGGCTAAACCACGCAGTAGGCCTGGTGCACGAGACGGCGCTGCCTCGAGCTGAGGCTCCTTCGGGTTCCTGAGCTGTAGGTCTTAGCAGGAGCCAATTACAGAGGAACCAAACCCAGACCTACTGCCATTGAGCCATGGCCAAGGTCAAAGGGCCTCTGAACGTGCTTGAGAAGTGTCCTGACTGAAGAGTCACAACTCTAAACCACCTGATAACTTCCCTCCTAAGCCTCATTACCATCGGCATGGTTCTGTGACGTCTCTGTGGCCATTACAGATCCACGTTAGGGTGGATTAGAGCCCCTGGAATGCAGTGGGCATGGGGAGGATGGAAGCGTGCCTGACCCCTAGGAATGGGCTTCTCGGGGAGCCTTTCCCCTCTGTGGGCTTAGTGAAGGTCAGAGGCACCTGCCTCACTCCACCTAAACCTTTGTTGAGGTCTTGAAGCGAACCCGCACGCTCTCTGAGGTCGGCTGTTGTTATCTGCCTTGTCGCCTCCTCCGCCTTCTCCTGGGAACCTCCAAGTGGCCACCGAGCCATTACCGACTGGAGTGTCTGAGCATATGTACCTCCTCAGGGGGCCCCAGTGGAATGGAGCTGCTGGCTTGTGCCTCAGATGTCTCCAAGCGGCTGGGGGAACGGGACTTCCAGACTGTTGTTACTGACTGTACATTAACCACTAGAGAGTACTGGAGGTTTAGTGATAAAGGATCATGCTGCCTCCTCAAAGGTGCACGGTTTGAATCCACCATCTGCTCCTGGTGAGAAAGAGGAGCAGTCTCCTCCCATGTGATTTACAGCCTCGGGAAACCTCCTGGAGGATCAGCGACAAATGAGTTCTGACTAGAAGGCACATAGCATCATTGCCCATTTGTACCCAGGGGCCTACCAGCAGCATTGTACAGAAGAACTGAAGTGCCAAGAGTTAAGCGGTAACACCATCTCCGACACCAAGCAGTCGACTTAGGCCCAGGCCACAGACTTGGGATGCCAGAGAATTTGAGTGCAGCCTGAGTATTAGGGTTAAAAGAAAGAACAACCGTAGTGTCAACTTGATTTGTTACTGAAACCCAAACCAGTAAGCAGCTCCTTTTCAGGCTGAGAAAAGTTCCAGTGATGGTCACAGAACAAGAGGCTGGTGTCTAGGTCATCCACAGGAACTCAACCAGGTGCAGCATTGGTGTGGGGAAGGACAGGGTCATGCGGGGAGGACAGGGCCACTGGAGAGGAAGGAGTCACGCGGGGAAGGACAGGGTCATGTGGGGAATGGGGTCATGGGGTCACATGGAGGAGGATGGGGCCACGTGGGAAGGATGAGGCCACATGGGGAGGATGAGACTACATGGGGAGGATGGGGTCACATGGGGGAGGAT